AGTGTCAAGGCCTGTCGAAGGAAGTGACCGAGCTCAGCCAGGAGGAGAAGAAATTAGATGAGCTGATCCAAACCTGCACCCTGGACCTCAAACTGCTAACCGAGGATTCAGAGAATCAAAGATATCCTTTGTGTCACCTGTTCCTTGGGGGTTAGCGCCTTCTAGATTACATCGAGAGTTGACAGGCTGACTGTTAGGCACAGGTAGAATTTTACTCTGGTTTCACCCAAGTCCATGTATATGTGTGTGCGTGTGTGTGTGTGTGTGTGTGTGTGTAAATCCACTTATCTTGGTTTTAGAACTCAGTATTTATGGAAAGATAGTCACTGGACAGTATCTTCTCCTATCTATTTTGATAGCTGGATGGTGACTGTGATTTGGGTTTTTTTTTTTTTGTTTTTTTAAGCATGTTATTTATGTGTGGTTGGGACATATGGACACACTCATAGCGTAAGGCAGCACTATTATAAGACATGTAAGGTGTCGGTGTTAATATTAATGACAACACCCAGCAGATTCATCTTTGGCTCCCCAGATTTCTGGTGGGCGTTAGCTGTCATGTTGGGGTTCTCACATTCTATTTTCTTTTCATCAGATATTGGAGCGATCGGAATTTGTTGAATCTGTCTGGGCTACAGCTGAAGGAATAAAGAGAGTAGAGAAAAACCACACTATAACTTCCCATGCGTTAATGCTGATTCATAGCACCAAGATTTCAGAAGTACCCCCACCTCACCCCCCCTGCCCTGCACCGCCCCCACCCCCGGCCCCAAGGCCTGCGACATCTCAATTTATCCATTCATCTACAGACATTAGTCTCTGGAAGTAAAATTTTTTAAAGCCAGTTCTTGTCAACTGGCTGACAATCTGTTGGCCATCATGGGAAAACTTACTGTTCATCATCCCCCCTTCCAGCAAGAAGGGAGAAAGATTACTTCATTATGTTGACAAGAAGATTTTGCAATATTCTCAGTTTCTAGAAGAAGACAAAGCCAATGTTTTAAGACCCCATCTCTAATCTGCATTCCCCACTTGTGATCATTCCACATTACCCTTTATGGCTGATAAGCTTCCCCTTGGAGGGTGTGGGGACATATATTTTCCAATTCAGGCAGTATTTTGCTACTGTGATTGTTCGCTTTCTGTTGGCCGAAAGATTCATGTTGTCAGCTGATGATTAGTGACATGGAGAAGAGGTGTGATGATTTGAACCCCCGATGGTGGCCAGAGTGGGTTTATCAGGAAAGAACGCAGAATAACTCTAGTGGGGCTGCTTCCTTCATTGTTTAGTCGGGAGCCCCGTGGAGGAAGAGATGGGGTGGTTGTCCGTGATTGACAGCTCTCTGCAATGTGTAGCTTACGGCATGGTCCCCTACATTAGCTTTCTCTGGGGCCATTGTTCCGGAAACTGAAAGCTTCCTTGCGGGGAGCTGCTAACCCAAAAAAGCAAATTCAGGAGGGAGCCACAGCGGAAGTACTTTTAAATTTGTAAGATTAGAAAATGCGTTTGCACAATTTATTTCAATTCGCCACTCAGTTCCGAATGTGGTACAGCTTGTTCACAAATGTGTTGAAACTTTCCTTCCTGCAGCATGTTGAGTAATTGTAGATGAGTTTTTAATAAGTTCTTGTCACACAGCTTTTTTTGACAGTGGGCTGTGGAATAGGTACCTGGCTGTCAGTTCCCCCAGCGTTCTCGGTAAAAATTCACACCAGTCAGTTTGCTTCCTTGATGAAATAAATGGGGACCTAAGACCTGGACTCCCATGTGAGCTTGTCCCATCAAGCTCAGCACCGAATTAGCCGTTGTCTGAACCGTTCAGACTTAAAGAAGATAGTCTATGAAGATGCCCCTAAAACGATATACAGATATGAAGTGAATGTGCTTTACTCTGCAAAGTACGTTCCTTAGCTTCCTTCAATTTCTAATAAAAGTCCACTGTTCTAAGAGACATTTCCTCCTGGCTCTCTAAACCCTATTTCTGTATTAAACATGTCAGATCATTGACTCTATGTGCTGTATTACATTACCTGCAGAAAGGCCTTCATTGAGTTGTGATTTGCTGTTTTATCCTAGGCATTTTTTGTGGGCTAACATAAAAAATGCAACAGGCTAGAAGACATTGTACATTAATTATGTCACTCCGTGTGCCTTATAGAAGAGAGCTACGTGAGTTCTTTTACTGCCGAGTAAGAACGTGTCTCTCTAGGCAAGCTCGCGTGAATACTTTTATCATGTAGTAAGTACCATATTCTTTCATGATATCCTCTCAGGTTTGCCTGCCAGGGCACTCAAAAGAATTGTTCAGTGAGTAGAAGTCATTAGCAAGGGTACTGAAATACTGTTTGCTCTGTCTTCTAACGGCAGTGTTTCTCAACTTTGTTCAGTAGCAGAGCCTTGGGAAGCTGCTTTTCTCCTTGTGAACACTGAAATATTGACAGTTAATAATATCCTACAAAGGATGATTTTTGTAACAGAGAAATAATGACAGTCTTATCAATGGGCAGTGTATAATCACCCACAGCCCGGGTGCCCTTAAGAAT